TGTCAAAAGCGAAGCGTTACAATAGAAACGATAGAAACCAACTATCAACAACTCGCAATGTTGCCGCGTTTTTACATTTTTTTATTCACGTTCTTATGTATTTGTATATTTCTTTTAAAATAAAAAAATGAGTTAGAAAATTGGCTGTTTTTTAAATCAATTGTAATAAAATAACAAAATAAATTTTCGCTTTTTATGCAACTCCCCTTTCCCCGCAATGAACTGCCCAAACCTCCTTAAGCATCTTTTTAAGACGGGTTTAAAAAGTATTTTTAGAAAATACAAATCTTACGTAATAATTGGATACTCCCTTTTTCTAAAATTACATTTAAAAAGCAAAAAACGTTAGCATAGAAATATTATTCTGAAATTCCCATCAAGTCCATGATATCGAAGTGTTATATGAAGTAATGGGCCGTATGCGGTTAGATTCACTGATGCGGCGCTGATTTTATCTTTTGGCTCCTCTTTTCCACTTCGATTTCCATCGACGATATATGATATACGCCATACATGATTGTTACTTGCCACGACCATCTCAGAAACTATCGCCATTACCATACACATTTCAGAGTATTGTCTCTTGGTTTCTGATTAGCCAGTTTTATTGGCTGATATTCTTTTTGTAAATACATCGATTTTCATTTTTGATTTTGACATTATAGGGGTAAATAGTTTTGTTTTTCTTTCTAATAAATATATTAAATGGTTTTTAAAATATTGTTCAGTGTGTGAAAAATACAAACTTTTGTATTTTCTTTTCATTATGAAATTTTTGCTTTAAATTTTAATTTTAGCTCCTGGTAATAGTACAGATCTGTTCTCAAGGCAAGGCCAATAACTATACTGTTTACCCCTTTACGTCAAACTGAAGTGGGGATTACATAATGCCATTAAGATATTTTTGTTGGTATTAATTTTTTTGCTTTTCGTTATTTAAGCTTTTTTTATTTAGCTTGTCGTTGTTTTAGCTCAATAGCTTACATTCTCTTTATTGGACGACATAACTTTTCATTTAATTTGTTATTATTTACGCTAAAGAATAATCGCTAGTAGCTGTCAAACGCGTATGTTACATATACAATACAATACAAATACAATAAATACACATTTTAGTAATGGTTTACCTGAAAATAGAAAAATTTCGACTGCAAACAGAATTTTTAAAAGCGTTGATTTAGAAAGTCTTCACTTAACGGTAAAAGACCAAAAACGGATATTTTATAATTTAAAATGATGACATGCTAAAATATGGAAAAAATAAAAAAATATAAGCTAAAATGATGACAAGCTAACATGAAGACAAGTTAAAATAATTACAAGCTTAAATATGGACAAAATAAAATAATGATAAGCTAACATAACAAGTTAAAATGATGACAAGGTTAAATATCGACAAAATAAAATATAGATAAGCTAAAATGAGGATAAGCTAAAATGATGACAAGCTAACAAAATTACAAGCTTAAATATGGACAAAATAAAATAATGAAAAGCTAAAATAATGACAAGCGAGTTTTTACAGGTTTTCCAATAAATAGTGGAAATCCGAATGAAGAAATAAATAGCACACAGTCCCTGTTAATATAAATTGTTCATATTAAATACAATAAATACATATTTTATAGTAACGGTTTACGTAAAAATTCAAACCTTTTCAAACAGTATTATTAAAAGCGTTGATTAAGAAAGTCCTCACTTAACAGTAAAAAACCAAAAACGGATATAATATTATGTATTATATATAATGCTATGTTGCCATGAATTTGTTGATATTTTTTGAACGACTTAAATATAAAAATGTTTGATTTAATCTATTATTTTGTGTTAGATTTCCAAACATAAATATAAATTATATTATGTAAAGTTATCGAATTGGTTCTTGAATTATATTTACAATTAAAAGCAGGATCACTTGGGTAAAATACACACTCTAACGTAACTATATAAAGAATATTTAATCGAAATCGAAACACAAATTACGTGCGCGGTTAAGCTGTGCAATTGAAACTTGCGGACAAAATTTGTCGAGTAAGACTTATTTCAATAATGCCACCAGATGGAGCGGGCGTTGCAAAAACCCGATGCTTCCTTAGCGTATCATTTAGCTTGATAAAAATGAAGTATTATATTGATAAATAACAAGCTTTTTAAAATCGAGTTTAAATTATGAAAAGTTAGGGGGTAATTTTCAGGTCAATTTGTCATAATTGACTAAGGCGCCGGGCGCGAAGGGGTGACCTATGTCGGCGGTGTAAAAGCGCACTTAAAATTCCGAAAGTGTGCAGAACATTTTGTTTGAAAAACAAATTTGCAAAATAGAGTAAAAGTTTCGTTAATCCGGAGACTTACCCCGACCCAGTTATGATATGCAAATATTCCAGAAAATACCACCTTATAATAATCTTTTCCCCGTTGCATACCCCACCCCCTTTCTTTATTTTTACACTTCCTCTTGTTTCTCTGTCCTGATTTATCTCTCATAATTATGACATTAGTTTTAAAAATCTTTTACTAGAACAGTGCTGGCTTCAGGCATTAGAACTCAATTTTAGCCAATTATCCTGATTTGTTATTTTTGCATATGTTTACATACTCGTATACTTAGAATAATACGTAGCATACTTATAGAAAATGTTATACAAACTCTCCTTTATAAACAGCAATTCCCGTCCAAGAAAACTGGAGCGGGAAATTTTCCTCGACCATTATTTACGCCAATTCGTCCGTCTGGTTTGTGTTTTGCGAGATTTCTTCATTCATAAGCATCCATTTATGTTATTATTATTGCTACTTCTTGTTATTTCTGCCTCGCATAAAAATAACTGCATCGCGCGAGACCGCTGTCTGCTAACGAATTGTTTACCATTAACGTTTATCATCAAAGAAACAACGTGAAAATAAATAGACGAGAATTTGGGTCGCCTCAGCGAAAAATTAAGTGATGAGTAAGTGTTTCATGAAATACTCAGAAAAAATATCAGTATGCTTACTTTATACTATTTATATGAATGACTTTCTTAAATTTCCCCTGGTGATCTGTACAAATCTTTGTGTGATCACGCATATTTTCAGCTAAAAATATTTCAATAATTTGTGCGTTAAAAATAAAAGATTAAAATCTTGAACCAGCTAAAGTAACAACAGCAGGACAGTTAAAATGAAGACACCTATTAGGTAAAATAAGGACAAGCTTATATAAAGATTAGCTAAATAATGACAAGCCTAAATAAGGACATTCTAAATTAATGCTAAAATAAAGATAATTTAAGCGGCAAGCTTAAATGAATACATGCTAAAATAAAGAAAAGCTAAAATGATGATAATTTAAGCGACAAGCTAAAATATGGACAAAATAAAATAATAACCAGCTAAAATGATAACAAAATGATGATAAAATAAAATAATGATAAGCTAAAATGAGAATAATCTAAAATGAGACAATCTAACATGAAAACAAGTTAAAATGATGTCAACTGACATTAAAACAAATTAAAATGATGACAAGCTTAAATATGGACAAAATAAAATAATGATAAGCTAAAATGAGGATAAGCTAAAATGATGACAAGCTTAAATATGGACAAAATAAAATAATGACATGCTGAAATGATGACAAGCTAACATGAAGACAAGCTTAAATGTGGACAAAATAAAATAATGTTGATAAACTAACATGAAGACAAGTACAAATATTGACAAGTTTTAATATCGACAAAATAAAATAATGACAAGCCAAAATGAAGATAATCTTAAACGATAAACGATAGCCTGTCAAATTATGACAGACATGCGTCTGGAGGTCCAAATACTCGTAATAATGACAGGATAAGGTTACCATTTCTGGGACTGGGACTGCGGAAATATCTAATATCCCATGCCTTTTATTCGGCAAATGCCTTATATGGTGATGTTTTTTACATTATTTACTTATACTGTGATGTAATATATACTTAAATTGTGATGTAAATTATACTTTAACTGTGATGTCAAAACTATTTTTACACATATTCTTAATGTTTTTAATATTTTTACTATTTAATTAAGTTAATAAGTTCTCTACTAATACAAATTATTATTATTATTATTATTATTATTATTATGATGACAAGCTGACATGAAAACAAGTTAAAATGTTGATAAGCTAAAATGATGTTAAGCTAACATGAAGATAAGCTCAAATATGAACAATATAAAATTAGGATAAGTTAAAACAAGAATAAGATAAAATAATGACAGTCTAACATGAAAACAAGTGAAAATGATGACAAGTCTAAATGGAAGAATCTAAAATGAAGACAAACTAACATGAAGACTAGTTTAAATGATAACAAGCTTAAATATGGATAAAATAAAATAGGAAAAAAGTAAAATATGGACAAAATAAAATAATGACCAGCTAAAATGATGACAAGCTAACATGAAGACAAGCATAAATATGGACAAAACAAAATAATGATAAGCTAAAATAAAGACAAGCTAAAATGATGACAAAACAAGTTAAAATGGCGACAATTTAAAATAAAAACACGTTAAAATGACGATATGCCTAAATAATGGTAAAATATTGTCTAAATAACGATAGGCAAAAATGACATGCAAAAATTTAGTGTACATTTAAATCTTAAGAAAAAAGTCTTTACCTAGTACTTATCACAAATTTTCGTTTAACTTTTAATAAACGTAATAGACGTATTATTGTTGATGTACCCAGAAATTTATTGGGTTAACACCTGCAGTTTCACACGATTACACATGGTTTATTTTAAATTTTATTGACGTGCTTTTATTGTGCATTTCTTAGAAAGTTAATATGTAATTCTAGGAAATTATTATTTGTGGCAGAAAGTGGAGCTTTTCCGCTTTGAAACAATAAGTGCTTGCAAATGTGGAGAACATATATTTATATATATCTATTTTAACTTTATGATGTGAGATTATTTTAATGTTATAATAGAATTGAAAAACTGAAAATATTTATACCCTTCTTTCATTTTCAGGAAAACTCGGACCTGATATTCGAGTACCTAGACCAAACAAATTTAAAATCAAATGACAACCATCTGAGGAAAGGAAGCCCAGAAGACGAACCCATAGAGTCGGAATATTGGCTTGCCCATACCGTGGGAAGGCTGAAAAGAAGCATCAGCAACTATTTTAAGCCCAATGAAGATGTACCCAAGAAAGCCAAAATCAGCAAGGTGGAAAATGTACAAACTGCAAAGAAAAAAAGGCAACTTGATCAGCAAGAAGAACTGGATGATGATGAAGATGAGGTAAGAGATCTTATTATACATTTTTCCACTACGAAATCCTTTTTAAATATCTCCAATAGAATTTCTCCTCTTTTTTAAACTTTTCATCAATATTTTAGGAATTGGATTTAGCGGAGGCGAATGAAGATGAAGATGATAACTTCAGTTCTGGTGAATCTGGAGATGGCGAAGATGCATGGGCTTATTACCCAGGACCTGTTCAACCATCAGGTACAAAAATTATAAAATTTGATTCATAATTTTTAATTCCTATTTTTTTAGAACGTTATCGTATCACTCTCACTATAAACGAGCCCTACGAAACTTACGCAGACGTCAATTCCGTGGAATATAAAAAGTTTGCTGAAGATTTGGCAGAATTCTTTAACGATTTGTATGAACCTCTTGAAGGAGAGCAAAAAGCCAATGTTATAAATGTCAGGTAACTAAATTATAAAACCCTATATCCTTGGGAGACTTTAACCAAGCATAAGAACACGAACCTTCCGAACAATTTCCCTACGTATTTTTTTCAGGAGCGACTCGTCGGATCCCATGAAGTTGATCGTTGAAGTTGAACTTGAGACCAAAGATTTTTACGAGGAAGATAAAATTAAAGATGTGCTTGAAACCGCTTTGAATAATCACCGGATCGGAAACTACGTTTCTGGAAAAGATTACAAGATCATCAAGGAGATGGGTACGAAGTGTTATTTTACTTACAAGTGCGGAAAGTACAAAAATTGCACTTTTCCCTTGACTTTTAAAAAATTTTTTATATTCTTTATTTTTTTTTAAATTAGGGGGTAGCAAATGTCAAGCGGGAGACTATCAGTGTACGAATGGGGAATGTATTTCCAGTAATAGTAGATGCGATGGTAATAATGATTGTAGCGATTCTAGTGATGAACTAGGATGTTCAGGTATTATTTTTTATTATTTTTTATTCCCAAAATTGATGTTAACCTTTTTTATTTTAACCTTTTAACAAGTTAGGTATTTTAATATGTAATTTTGGTTTATGTTTTAAGGGAATTTTCTATCTTAAATAAATAATAAACTTTTTGGATTTCGTTAAAAGTATGTTTGTAATTTTTGTTTATAACTGTACTTATATAATTTTTTCGTTCAATTTTATTCAGTTTAATGAAATCCAGATCCAAATTTTTGGGAGAACTTGCATTTTCGCGTCCAATTTTTTTTGCACCATTATAATTTATTTTATAATAACGTTAAAATGACCAATAACTAAAATTAAAATTAGGACAAGCTAAAATAACTACAAGCTTGTATACCGCTAATTATTTTTATATAAAAACTGACAAAAAAACTACTAGCTAATATCCATCTATATACCAGCTAAAATACCTACAAGCTGAAATAACGTTAATTAATTATAATTGCAAGGTAAAATAAGAACAAGCTAAGATTTTTAACAGAATATTGAAAATAACTAAAATAACGTCAATTAAATTTAACTAATTAACAAGTTAAAATATAACAACCCAAAACTTTTCAACTAAATTAGTTATTTAAGCTTGTCATTATTTTATATAAGCCGAAATAACGTTAAATTAATTATAATGACAAGCTAATTAATTTATTATTATTAATTTATTAATTAATTAACAAGTCAAAATTACCTGACAATTAACAAGTTAAAATAACGACAACCCAAAACCAACTGAAGTGACCTCAATTTAGGACATCAAGATAAAACGACAAGCTTATATCGTTATTTATAAGCAACAATTTTAACAATAAATTCGGAATAACAAAAATAAGTACTAGGTAGCTAAGATTTAAACATAAATGCTGGCAAAAACTAAAATAACGACAAGCTATAATGACGAACAGCTAAAATTAAAACAAATTAAAATAACGACAAGCTAAAATGATGACAAGCTGAAATAACGTCAATTAATTATGATGACGAGCTAAATTGATGACAAGCCAATTTTTACATAAAATTGGGATAACTAAAATAACAAGCTAAAATGACGTCAATTTAATAGAATGACAAGCTAAGATTTAGACATAAAAATTAAAAATTTAAAACGAAATAACAAAGTAAAATATCAACAATTTAATATGACGACAAGCTAAAATAACGACCAGCTTTTATCTCTAGCTACGATTTTAACAATAAATTGGGAATAACTATAAACTAAATTGACAAACAACACAACAGAAGATTTTAACAAAAAAAGGTTATAACCAAAATGACAACTAACTTAAATAAACACAAGTAAATCTAAAATTACAACAAGCTACAAACTTAAATACCGTTAATTAATTATGATAACAAGTTAAAATTACGTCAAATTAATATGATGACAAGCTAAGATTTTAACAAAAATACAATAACTAAAAAGTTAAAATAACAAACAAATGACGACAAGTAAAATAACAAAAATCTAAAATGACAAGCTAAAATAACCACAAGCTGAAGTACCATCAATTAATAGTGATTACAAGCTAAGATTTTAACATAAAATTGAAAATAACTAAAATAGATAAAATAACATCAATTTAATACCTTAACTAACGACAACCTTATATTGTTATAAGCTGCGATTTAACAATACATTGGAAATAATTAAAAGCTACATAGACAAACATTAACACAAGATTTTATCACAAAATCTAAAAATAACTAAAATGACAAGCTAAAATGACGAACAACTTAAAGAAAGACAAGTAAAATCATTTTACTAAAATGACAAGCTTAAATAACTATTAGCTGAAATAACGTTAATTAATTATAATGACAAGATAAAATTACAAGCTAAGATTTTAACATAAAATTGGGAATAACTAAAGCACTACTAACTTAAATAAGGACAAGCTAAAATGACGAAAAGCTAAGAATTTAACAAAAAAGTTGGTTTACAACACTTGCCTTTGGTTTGTAATGCATGTTTTCCCAAGAATTTCCCACATTTTTTTAAAATAAAATGTAAAATCACTATTCTTCTCCAAAAAAGACTCAACTGTAGAACCCCGACTATTAACTGAAGTAGATATTACCACAACACCTGCCTACAATGGCGACGATTCCGCCGAACCAAAATCATCCAATTGCACATTAGTCTCGTGTGAAGACAACTCGCGAGTAATCTGCAGAAACCAGCAATGCGACAAAAAAAGCGACTGCGACGATGGTAGCGACGAAAAAGACTGCGGTTATAGCTGTCGAGGTGACGACGTCATGAAATGTGAAAACGGTCAGGAAATTTGCGAGGTCTACAAATGCGACGGAACCGAGCACTGCAAGGATGGCAGTGACGAAATAAACTGCCCCACATCAACACCACCAACACCTACAACAACTGAAATAATTGGTATTTTACCTTGTTGCGTTGATTTTGTATCATCAGAGCTGCGAGTGCAAGAGCTGTGCGATACCCGAGTTTTAGTTCTCAAATTTTGTAGTAGAGCGGCTTTAAACAAATAATAATATCGAATTTCTTTGAGAAGTTTGAGAATATATGTTGAAAACACTTCTTTACAATGCATAATAAACTATGCACTTATTCTATTTTCTCCAAATTTGAATATTCTAGCTTCTGCAGATTCCGATTTATCAAATACCAAATCTGAATAATTATCATCATGTAAAATATGTGGTAACTCGTGAACTACTTCAACAATGTTCTTTAAATTTAAAATGCATAACAAACTATACACTCATTCAATTTTCTCCAAATTTGAACTTTGTAGCTTCTCTAGATTCTGATTTATCCAATCCAAAATCTGTATAATTATCATTATGTAAAATATGTGGTAACTCGTGAACTAATTCAACAATGTTCTTCAAATTTAAAGTACATAATATACTTTTTATACATTCTATTTTCTCCAAATTTAAACTTTCTAGCTTCTCCAGATTCCGATTTATCAAATACCAAATCTGAATAATTATTTATCATCATGTAAAATATGTGGTAACTTTTGAACTACTTCAATAAAGTTCTTCAAATTTAAAGTCCATAATATACTTTTTATACTTTCTATTTTTTCCAAATTTAAACTTTCTAGCTTCTCCAGGTTCTGAGGTATCCAATACCAAATCTGGATAATTATCAGCACGTAAGATATGTGGTAACTCGTGAACTACTTCAACAATGTATTTTAAATTTAAAATGCGTAACAAACTATACACTCATTCAATTTTCTCCAAATTTGAACTTTGTAGCTCCTCTAGATTCTGATTTATCCAATCCAAAATCTGTATAATTATTATTACGTAAAATATGTGGTAACTCGTAAACCACTTCAACGATGTTCTTCAAATTTAAAGTACATAATATACTTTTTATACTTTCTATTTTCTCCAAATTTAAACTTTCTAGCTTCTCCAGGTTCTGAGATATCCAATACCAAATCTGGATAATTATCAGCACGTAAGATATGTGGTAACTCTTTAAATTTAAAATGCATAACAAACTATACACTCATTCAATTTTCTCCAAATTTGAACCTTGTAGCTTCTCTAGATTCTGATTTATCCAATCCAAAATCTGTATAATTATTATTACGTAAAATATGTGGTAACTCGTGAACTACTTTAACAATGTTCTTCAAATTTAAAGTACATAGTATACTTTTTATACTTCCTATTTTCTCAAAATTTAAACTTTCTGGCTTCTCCAGGTTCTGAGATATCAATACCAAATCTGGATAGTTATCAGCACGTCAAATATGTGGTAACTCTTGAAATGCTTGAACAATGTTCTTTAAATTTAAAATAGATAATAAACTATTTAAACATCCTATTTTCTCCAAATTTAAACTTTCTTCTCCAATAACAAATCTGGATAATTATTATCATGTAAAATATGTGGTAACTCTTAAACTACTTAAGCAATGTATTTAAATTTAAGAAGCCTAATAAACTATTTATTTATTATACATCCTTTTTGCCAAAATTTTGACTTTTAGCATATTCACATCTGGATAATTTTATTTGTATGAATATAAATATTATATTTAATGAAATTCGGTATAGGTACATATGTAATGTGTAAAAGTACAAAATTCAAATAGAACTAGTACTTAAGTATCACACAGCTCTGGTGGTGATGGGCCGTCATATTAACATTCTGTTTTCGACACAAGCACAGTTTTTTATTCATAATATTCGCCAGCTTATTAACTTTATAAGATACATACTGTATATATTTTTAGCTTTATTAACCTACATTTTGTGTATTTTGTACTAACTTTTTATATGTATTTATATTCTACATTTAGGTTATGAAATTGTACTTTAGGTGACATTATTTAAAAGTATTTTAGGAACACCAAATTTACTTTTTTGGATTTATTAATCCCGGCGCATTCGCCATTTTTTGCAAAATATTTAAAGTTTATGTTGATTTTAAGAAAGGGTATCTTTATGACTTTAGTTTTTTATGTTTTACAAATAAAAAAGACTATTTGCAACCCCAAAATTTTTTTTGGTTTGTTTTCCAATTGTATAACAATTTTTTCTTCTATAATTTTTTGTTATCGTTTTCTTTTTGTTCAAATTTCTTCTTTAAAAATATCGTTTATCAGTCTCACCATGAATATTTTTTATAGTATGCGAACTTGGTGAGTTTGTTTGCGACATACGACGTTGCCTTCCTGACTATCAGGTCTGTGATGGTGTGGAACAGTGCTCTGACAAAAGAGATGAGCTTCACTGTAAGTAAACTGGAACAAACCCTTCAAAAAGTAAATGCTTCTAGAGCCGTCAGAAACTTCGCTTTATATTCTTGTTGTTTGGTTTTCAATTTATTTTCGTCTTTAGAACCCCCTACGATTTTAGTAGATAGTAGAACCATTTTTATGTCCCATTTCAGCTCATTGTAGTATACCCATAGTATCATCATTTAGCCTTTGAATGTTAATTGTCCACAGCTTTAAGCATTTTTTTTACATATATTTTTTTTAGGTTGCAAACCACCCAATTTCCAATGTGACAACAACAGTAAATGTCTTTCAATCGACACCAAATGTAATAGAGTTGCAGATTGCCAGGATGGTACAGATGAAAACAACTGTGGTAAGTTTTTACTTTTTTTATATATTTAAATAAATTGTTTAATTTAATCTCAACAATTACTGTTTGGTCAATTTAGAGTAGTACAGACATATATGCGTTGATCAGATAAGAACAATTACAAATTATTTATGATCAGAACCACAGAACGTGGTGTTGTCTATAGGCAACCCAGATTACACGGTCTTGGAATTTACAATTACAATTCATAGGTAATAGAATAATATTTATAATTTATGTCTAAAATTATTAAAAATATTGAAAATAACGATTTAATAGTAAAAATTATATTTTTTTATTTTGGAATTGTTGTTTATTTGTTTTTATACGATAAATAATTATTTTTTTAATATCTAACTAAAAAAAAAATGGGATTTATATAAAAATTTAGGGATAGGAAATATTATTTAAAAAAAAATTAAAATTATATTTTTTAATTTATTGTTTTTAATTTATTATTTACATTAAACAAATAATAATAAATACTTAAATATATTAAAATACTGAATGCCTTTTAACATAAGGTGTAACGGAAAAATATTTAAAAAAATATTTTCCCAAAGATAAAGAAAAAATATGCATTAGATGTTTTTTATATCTTTTGTTACACACTTATGTTCTGTGAGTACATAGATAGAGCCAGTTGTAAAAAATTGTTACTAAAAATTATTATATTAGCTTAAGCAATGATTAGAAAATTTTAAAACTCCATAACCACAAAATTAATTTTTTCATCGGTTTTTTTCCTTCTGTTTACAAATTCACAGGTTAACCTTTAAACATTCAATTTGTGTAAATAAATTCAAAAGCACTTTCCTTTGAAAGAAATGCAATAGATTCTATCATAAAAGTTACCAGATTTTGTTTGAAATTACCTTCATTTCAAAAATGACATAATAAACAATTAATAAAAACGCCAAATTAACATCTTGCATTGTTGATTTTGTCATTTTTGTAATTAAGCTAAATTTAAACAAAATTTGGCAACTTTTTTGACAGAATCTGGAAACGCAGGTTGTTACCAACCATAACATAATAAATTAAATTAGGCAACCAGATTAGCCTTAAGTTCCTAGTCGATCAGTGGCGTACTTTTTGGTAGGATAAAGGTTATTATAAATTATTTTTAGTCTTTAGAATTTGGAAAAAAAGTTTCAGGTGCTTCTTTATGGACCCTAAAGAATTACCCATTTTAATAAATTACATTAATTACATAACACCCTGTATAAAATAAATATTAATATTATTATTATATTATTTCTATTATATTATTATTATTATTCTTTTGTAATTTACTTAACTTAATTAATTTGTCGATTTTATCTAATTTACCCTATACCTATATATATATAATTGTTTGGGGAAAAATAAATTTAATGGTTATTGCGATTTAAAAAAATTGTGAGCAAATAATATTTTTCAAAATTGTTTAATTTAATATTTTTAATTTAATTTTTATTATTTTAATTTTGTTCTTGTATTTTTTAACTTTATAATTTTTATGTCCATAAATGTAATTTAAAATATCTAATTTTCATATTATAGATAATATATGATTTTGTGAGGCACCAGACACATTTACAAATAATTTCAGACTTTACAGCAAAGATTGCAAGAAAATAATTTTTAAAGTTGGGTACATTTGTTTTTACACGGGACTGTGTATTTTGTATCTCACCGTGTTAATGCCTTAAAAATAGATCATTACAGTATATGTTTATATTTTATGAACAACTCAAAAAAACTGTTATTTCAAATTTTGCACTGCCAACACATAAAAATGACAGTTTTATACCTTAACTTTGCCATTATAACAACAAATTAACAACGTATTTACTGTTTATTTTATTTTTAGTTTTAAATGATACTTTAATTTTTAATAAGGTCGTAATTATCAAATTCTTAAAATTCAGATACTACCTTAAAAATAGACAATTCTTTATTTATTAAAACATTAACTGGGCAAATAAAATTCAGAATTTTAAAATACTTCGTTATAGATATAAAATAAAAACCATGCCATGCAGGCATATCTAAACTTCCCCTTTAAAGTACCATTTTTGTAAAACTTTTATGGTTTCATCTAAAAATAAACGCTCAAAATCAAGTAGCAGCATATTACCGTAAAGATCGCATCGGCCGCGCTCGAAGTGTAGACAGTGATTTGTAGATGGCGCCACGCCCCCAGATTGCCGCCCCCCGCGGCGAGGGATAATATGTTTAGAATGCAATCATACTTTATTCATATTACAATACCGAGATTTTCTCTTAACAATTCAGTTAAATTCGGTGTTGTATGAGTAAAATTTAACATGGGTTTTTATGATTTCGGTCCGAAAAATTAATTTAGCTGCTTTTATGGAACGCTAAATTATGATTTTTGTTTATTTTAAGTTTGAAAGTTATTATACCCAACATAAATATTACTATAAAAGAATACTGCATTTTGATGCCATTTATATGCAAATATACATACAACACCTACATTCATATATTTGTTTATAAATTTCCTCTACAAATAAAGACAATTAATTTTTTTAAGCCTATAACAATTTTTATATTAAGTATAACACTCATAAGCCTATATACAAACTATTACAAAGACTTTTTATTTGTACGCAGTTTAAAAGTCTAATTATTATACACCGCCGTACAATAATAAAAATACATTGAAATAACAAAGGAAGAGTTGTTACATCTATCGAAATCAGCAATAAAATGTAAACTTACAGGTCACTTTAGAATAAATTTATGTTCATAACCTATAATATAACATACCTATGAAAAACGTCAAACCTGACGGCTATGCTTCAAATAAGCGCTTTCTCTGCCTGTTAGATAATGCACTATTTTTATGGAATTTCTACCAATTAATCTAAAATAATTGTCAGTTTTAATAATTGATAAAGATTATTAATATAATATATTAAGCGGTTCTTTTGACTTTTATTTTTTATAAAAACTAGGTATACAATAATGAATAAATTACCATTTTAATTTTTAGTATTATTCTTATTTCTTATTGTGGTTTGTTTTAGTTATATTAAATTTATGCCGATTGGTTACTTGAGCGCGGGTGTGTCGAATATTTATTATGTCTATTAAGGTTCTATTACATCATAAGCTAGCAATTCTTGTGCTCATAAACATAACGCATCTCACAAGTCTTTTAGCTATTAATTAAAATATGCCTAATTACAATGCGTAATTTGACATTAGTTATTCTATCTATAGGTCAACTGTGTTAATATTTTTTTCTATTCCTACTGTTAAAGTGCATTTTCTCAACGTAAAATCGTTTATAAAATAGTATCTACTTTAACAGCAAGGATAGAAAAAGAATTTTTTAAGTAGGTACTTATAAATAATTTAAATCAATATCACTATTTGTATCAATACAAATTTTGAAGTTGCAATTAATATTGCCAGATGTATGTACCCATATAGTTTTTTGAAAAAATATTTCAGAGGTAAAAAATCTATGAAAACATTAACCGCACTATCAAAAGCAAGTGATTGTAGTAAAAATAACACAATTAGTTAAATTTTAGTATAAAAATATTGCCAATAATATAGTTTTCTACTCCCACCTTTAAAACGACCATTATCGTACATGTTTCAATGACACTAAGTGACCTTTTAAATACACATTGACAAGTTGTAGCTTTACGGGCTGAAGTTAGCAACAGGTTTTTAGTCACGGGCTGAAGTTAGTTTTAAGATAGTTGACAGTTGTCAAATGTCATACAATCGTTAAAATAAATTGCCTTTCTTGTAAAATAATACAATGTGAAAATTATTTTATTATCTCAAAACAAAAATACAAAAGTATTAAATAGTTTCTCAACGCCAATTTTTGATAAGTTTATATGAACATTGTACTGACCTTTTAATTTGGCCGGCAGTAAACTATAACTTAAATTCGGGCACGGACTCTCTACTGTAAAGTCCTCATAAAACATTTCCTTTATTTTCACTGTGAAAAACTGTCCATTTTTAAGATACATTTCGATTTATAACCTTTATAATTGTGTTTATAAAATGTAAAAATGTGACATTTGACAGTTTCCCCTGTTGTTTCATAGATGGCGCTCTATACAAATTTTTGATTTAAATCATTTTAAGATAATAATAACTACAATGAAATAATGATTTTTTATTGTTTTATTCAAAACAAATTAATTGTTGATTATAATAATATAAAAATTTGCTTTTCAGATTTGCATTTTTCAAATTGTTATCATAAATATCGCCTAACGTATTACAGTTATAACTATATATATGTAGAAATAGCTGACGAAAATTTGTTATTTTTCTTACTACCATATAAAATCATATAAAATCAATATTTTTCTTGTATAACGAATTATTCGGTCAGTCTATCATGGCCTAGGCCGTAAAAAACATTATGCACTACTTTGCACCAATAAAAAAAAATTGACTTCTGTCAGGTCTATCTATCCTCACTTTTTACTTTTAATAATAATTTAATTAATAATTATTAATAATAATTATAATTATACAAGTTGATTGTTGATATACAGTGTGAACCATTTATTTGCGACTCACCCCTGTAAAATCTTTATTTAGTGTGCGATTTTAACCTTATTTGTTTTAAAATGTAAATCTTGATAAACTGTATTTTTGGGGCAAAAACAATATTTTTACATAATACAAATGGGAAATGGGAGATATTGAGCTCAAACTTTAGGAGATTATTTTTTCATATTGAAAAAACTTTTTAGATATATTTAATAAAATAAAAAGGTATTTTGACACAGTCTAATCTACACTTTAAAACAAATCCGTTTAAAATAGCACATGTGCAATACATAAGATTTTGAATACTTTGTCTTAAAAATGCATACCTACACTGTATTTTCTGCGGAGTAGTTTAAGAAAATAACAAACAGAAAAGTGTATAGTATAAAACAATAAAATTGTGTTTGTATTTTTAGTCCCCCGAGTAAAAAACACATTGTCGTTACAGTAAAAAAACTCGAAATTAGTTTTGTGGTGACATAGAAGCAGCATAATGGCAGTTTTTTGTCTCTTACGTCGTCGGGGTTTTCGGTTAAAAAGTGTGTCTTCATTGACCGCGAATGTGCTTTGTTACTTAGTTAATGTCGAGTCCTTTGTCAGCTCTCCTAGGGAGCTGCTCTTCATATGTAAATCCGCACTTTTTGTTTGAATATTCATCGACATCTCTCTCGACT